AAAAAAAAAAAAAAAACTCCACAAAAAAGTAAACCTATCTTCAAATGGCTTATTTTTAACAATAAATCATTCATATTGACTTTCAGTATTTTTAGTCATATTTTTAGGGTCATATCAACATTTAGGAGTTCTGAAAACTTGGGGTGTGTTTCACATTTTATTGGGGGCCACTAGGGAGGGGGCTTCCACCCTCCCAGTGGAGATGCTCACAGTGTCTCTAGCCATCCTAGGCTTGTGCCCTGGGGGTGGCTGGACCACAGGGTCCTGTCCCACCCCCCCCACTCCGGGGGCAGTAAGTGGTTCAAGGTGCGGTCTGATGGATAACGGTGGTGTACGTGTATAGGGCTGTGTGGGAGGGCAGAATCAGAGTGAGGCCTTGATGAAGGACAGAACCGGCACTGACCCTAGGAATTCTGGAAAGGTCATGGTCTTGTGACCATGTATAGCAACCTGGAGCTATACAGTTTTCTCCCCCTGGGCTGGCAGTGGAGCCCAGGGCCCTGCACATGTGGGGGGAGTGTTTTACCCGAGCTATATCCCTGCCTCCTTCAGTATTTCCGTGGTGAATATGACACTGGGAGTAGTTTGGGTGAACAGAATCGGTGCATCCAGTAAAAGCAAGCCAGAACCCCCAGATGCTTGCCTTTCCTTCAGAGCACCCTTGAGAGTGCAGCGGGTGGGGTCCAGGCACTGCCTTGGCTCTGCCCTTCTGATGGTGGCCAGTGAGGGTACCTGGGTCACCATGTGCCATCTGTGTTGCAGTGTTTGTGGGCTACCTGTGCATTGTGCTGCTCATGTTACTGCTGCTCATCTTCTGGATTGCGCCAGCCCACGGGCCCACCAACATCCTGGTCTACATCAGCATCTGCTCCTTGCTGGGGAGTTTCACCGTGCCTTCCACGAAGGGTATAGGGCTGGCAGCCCAAGACATCTTGCACAACAACCCATCCAGCCAGAGAGCCCTGTGCCTGTGCCTGGTGCTCCTGGCCGTGCTGGGCTGCAGCATCATCGTCCAGTTCAGGTACATCAACAAGGCCCTGGAGTGCTTCGACTCCTCCGTGTTCGGGGCCATCTACTACGTAGTGTTCACCACCCTGGTCCTGCTGGCGTCCGCCATCCTCTTCCGGGAGTGGAGCAACGTGGGCCTGGTGGATTTCCTGGGCATGGCCTGTGGATTCACGACTGTCTCCGTGGGGATTGTCCTTATACAAGTGTTCAAAGAGTTCAATTTCAACCTTGGGGAGATGAACAAATCTAACGTGAAAACAGACTAGGACGCAGCCAGGGGTTGGGGGCTGGAGGAGCACGACTTGGAGGTGGTTCCTGGTCTAGACTAGATGTGACATAGCAGAGACCCTCATTCCCTGGTGTGAGAGTCACCATGCACTCATGGGTGGCCTCGCGGACACAAGGAGCCTGGCTCCGCACGAACCAGGCCCAGTCCTGAGCGGCCCAGCCCTCCCACTGGTTGCCTGGGCACCATCTCTCTCTGATGAGATGAATGCCGTTTTCATTTCCATTAACCTGGAAGCTTTTGTGACTACTCTTTCCTTTTAAAATATTTTAACATGACCTGATCAGAAAAGAAAGGTAGCCTCTTTCTGGTTAGTCATTTGCAGGAGAGCATATGTTCTTCAAGGATTACGTTGGAAACAGGAGAAATTGTCTTGCAGTCTGGCTCTGTACAGTAAACGTGACTGTAGTTGTGTTAGTTTGCATTAGGCATGTATAATATTCAGGAACCTCATGCAAATAGGAGGTATATACTGAACTGTCTTCAATCCACTAACAAATTGGCTCTCTCCTGCACTATCCCAAGACATCTGACTGGCAAATAGAGAAGAGTTAGTGAGTGTGCTGCAGTAATTCCATGGCAGAATGACTCCAGTAGCTCACATCGATTCAGTGCCTTTATCACTCGATTTAGTCACTTAATTTGACCATTACTGTGTGTGTGTTCTCTTAGATTAGAATGATGCCACTTCCTTGGCTGTATAGTTATATTTTAATGTTCAGATTACCAATATGTAAAGCAGTTAGAAATAATAATATAGTCAGTGGAAGACAGTCAAAACTAAAGAGACATTAGAGCAAACGGACCCACTCAGCATGTAGTTATTATCTAATTAAAGACAACTAATTAAGTAGCATGAGGCATTTTATTTTCATTCAATCTGTGTAACTAGGATCCCGTATCAAATATATCTACATTGTTTTTCAGCAAGCATTTGTGACCAGTGGGAAGAAGTAAACTATTTAACTTAATAATAAGTTATTACATAACTTGTGTAACAGCACACATATTGAGTGTCCTTTAATACAGGAATGAATTAAAGGGCACAGGTAAGCTTAAGACAGAGTCTACAGGGCCGAAGATTTAGCCCAGTGGTTCCAGAGCCTGCCTCACAAGCGCAAGGACCTGAGTTTGATCCCCAGTACCAAAAAAAAAGACAGAGTCTAGAAATTACAACACACATAGTTTTCCAAGAGAAGAATATCAAAGATGGAAATAACTCCTTTAGCCAGCCCATTGTTTGAGATAACATTAGCGAGTTCTTTACCCAACCTCATAAACTTCTTGAGCATACACAAACACCTGGGTTTCATCCTTAGAACCAAAAACAACAGAAAACAAAATGAAAGACTACCTAAATATAAAATAGCAGTAATTGTGGCAGGTTTTGGATCAAAAAGATCATTTTTCTGTCCGTAGTCACCTTCCATGTGTCATTAAACTAGAGCAAAGCACAGAGTGGTGCGGATAGACACGGTGATGCCGTGTACTTGACAAGCAGCCGCCTTGGTGGGGGACTGTCCCACATCCACGACAAGGCCGAGCAGAGTGGAGTAGGTGGAATGTGAAAGTAATACGCAGTTAAAGTTACTCATGAAGGGAAACAAATGTGCTTCTCTAGGTAAAAACATTTCTAAAATAAAGACCCATGGAATATTCCCTAAAGTGTTGAACAAAGAGGCTAAACAAAGAGAGTTGTTTAGCATAAGGCCAATAAACACTTGTACGAATTAAATGTATATGTGATAATCTTGGTTTGTCAGTAATTTTTGAAAAGCAGCAGCAAAATTACTTAGTTTTAAAAGTCTTACTCTGTTAAGTAATTAAATCCACAGAAAGGTTATTTCTGTTTTTATCAGCTCTTGAAGGTTTTTTTTAAATCAGCATTCTTAGGAATCCAGGTCTTAATTTACTAAACTCCGAGTGTAAGCAAAAGCATTGTGTAGCAGGATCATACACTTTTAGGCATAAAAATAGTTCCTTAGGTAAGGAGCTTGAGAAAGGACTGTACAAGTATAAGAAGAAAGTTCATGATGTGGAAATCATGCTTATTTTGCTGTAGCCTATATTTGAAGCCTAGTTTAATGCATTTATTAATGTACCTTATTATAGTTGAATCCACAGTTACACCAGGGGTGACTGTTTCTGGATGATTTTCCCTATGATTTTTTTAAGAGTGAAGAGAGGGCCAGGGATTTTAGCTCAGTGGTTCTGCCACCTGCCTTGCAAGCGCAAGGACGGGAGTTTGATCCCCAGTACAAAAAAAAAAAAAAAAAGAAAGAAAGAAACAGAATCTCACAGCATTAATATCTCTTCTCATCTTGCAGGCGTCTGGTCCCTCAGGTTTCTGTCTGTTCAGTACATCCTATTGTAAGGGCCCCAGCTTTCCTTTCAGTGGAACAAAGTCCATATTGTTTTCAAGTATGTGGCAGTGCCCTCTAAATAACCGTCATGGCTAGTGTCTGATGATCCGATTTCCAAGTTTAACACAGAGCATCTATATTAGGTTTAAAATTATTTGCTTTATAAATACTTTTTTTTTTTTTTGGTACCAGGGATCGAACTCAGGTCCTTGTGCTTGCAAGGCAGGCGGCAGAACCACTGAGCCAAATCCCCGGCCCTATAAATTCATTTCTTATAATTCATTTGAAAATGCAAAGAAGAAAAGGCCCCAAATGAATTTTAAAGGAGGGCCATTTGGGGATGGGTCTCTGATCGGTCTTGCCAAAAGTAAATACAAAACATTTCCTCATGATATGCTTTGAGTTTTATCTCCAATAAAACTAAGGAAAAACTGGGCATGGTGGCACGTGCCTGTAATCCTAGCACTCTGGGAAGCTGAGGCAGGAGGACTGTAAATTGCAGCCCAGACTGGGCAATTTAGCGACTTAGCAAGACCCTGTCTCAAAATAAAAATATTTTAAAAGGGGGTGGGGATGCAGCTCAGTGCAGATCCAGCACTCTGGATTTAATCCTCAGCCCCGAAGTGAGTAACCCTAACCCTAACCTGGCACAACAACAACTAGGTAAAAAGACTTAAGGTGCAAGTGTACTTGCTTTCAAGTCAAAGGTTTTTTAAAATCAAAATTAGCAAAATGACTTTTTCTTTTTTTTTTGTAGACAGGGTCTCACTACATAGTTGAGACTGACCTGGAACTCATTATGTAGTTCCAGGCTGGCCTCAAACTCAAAGCAATCCTCCTCCCTCAGCTTCGCGAGTGCTGGGATTAAAGGTGTGTGCCACCACACCTGGCACAAAATGACTTTTGATAGATACTTAAAGAGGTCATTTTTCTCTTCTCCTGCTTAAGCTTGTTCTGTTTTCTCATCTAAGCCTTTATATGTGGAAGGATTATTTCCTGTTCTGCTTACTGATCAAGTGTAGGACCAGGTAAGGACTCTTACTCTAGCCCAACCCAGGACAGCGACTGGAGTGCATGTGGGCTGTATGCCCTGCCTCTCTGTGCAGGTCACAGAGGAGGGCAGCACTGCCCAGGTTGGACCCTTGCAGTAGTAGGGTTTCTGGTGGCATTGCTTACTGCTCAGCTGTCATTATTCTTTTCTTGTTTGCATGTTAATACAATTTTCTTCGCTGCTCTGTGCTCAGCAATAAGAAATATTCTTTCAGGACTGCTCCTTAAGCCAGTGCATTTGCTCAGTTTCATTTCCAGCAGTCAGTCCTAGCACTGAAACATTGGTCTTTGTTCTTCTGTGGATTTCGTCTGTTTTCTGATAGAAGAGAACACTGTTCAAACGTGCAGTCACTGTTCCCTTTTTTCTGGACAGCTCAGCTCCTTGGAAATAAATATTTTGTTCAACTCTTAGAAGTCGGTTTGGAGACTTCTGTAAAGTATTCTGTGTCTGGATAAACACTCAGTCTGTGGAAACAGGCCTGGCTGAGCACAGCCCTCCCATGTGATTATTGCTGTTTTGGGGTTGAACCCAGGCCTGGTGTATGCTGGGCACACATTCTGCCGTTGAGCTACACTCCTAGTTCCAACCACGATTTCCTCTGGTTTTCTTGGTTGTTTGTTGTTTTAATTTGAGTGCTGGAGCTCAGACGTGGGGCCTCAACCATGCTGGGCAAGCACGCTTCCACCTCGGAGCTGCGTCCCCAGCCCTGCTGCTCATTCTTGTCAGGAGTTGACACCTCTGTCTTCCCACTGCCCCACTCGTCTAGAAGAATGGAGAGGATGCTCCAGTGGCCTTCACAGCCATGCCCGTAGCTCTTCTCTGGTGCACAGAGCCTGTCCAGCTTCCTGTGACCCGGCAGGACACTAGAAAGAGAAGAGGACTTTGTGCCTGGCGGCTCAGCTCCTGGGTCTGAGGAGCGGTCCTCAGTGCATATGATGCCAATGGGTGGAGCACCTGCCCAGCAGGACTGGATGGGATCTTGGTGTTCTGCCTTCTCAGGGACCCAAAGTGTATCTCTTCACTGTTGACCTTACTTACAAGGGTATGTCCGTGTTCCTGCTGTGTATGTTTTACTCATAATCACATCTTGGTTATGTTAACTTGTGTCAGCGAGAGAAAAGTCCGGTTGGCACACCAGTCACAGCACAAGGCAGGTGTCACATAAAATACCTCAGTTTTTTGTCTTCCTCATTTCCACTTCACAGTTGTTACTGGTGATGGACTCTAAGGTTCTGTCCTTTAGCTCACAGGTGACTTTTCACATCTGGCCAGATTCTTGTACCTCCATTGTATACTTGAAAAGATTAAGAATTGTTGGAACAGGAATAAGAATTTGGCCCGATGCCAGTACTTGTTTATTTTCAGACATTTCTCACATGCTATTATATGTAATAAAATAGTTATATTTTAAGAAACTGTAACCTTTGTTACATCAAAATATATTGTCTAGTAAAAACTTGATGTTCAGTAGAGCAGTGATTGTGTAAATAAACATGTACTTCAGATGTACCCAAAGTGATTAAAAGGTGGAGCCGAAGGCCTAGAGCTAAGGATTTATTTCTTTTCTTTCTTTTTCCCTGAATTGTGCAAATATGGGTGAGTCACTTAACCTTTCTATGCCTCGTTTTTCTACCTCTGAAGGGGTGGGATGGCTCTCCAGATCCACAGCTTCTGAGATGCTGTGTAACACTGCAGCTGTGCTCAGTTGGCCTCAGGTGAGAGCACCGTGCACAGAGCTGCTCTGGCAGTGGTGGTGGAAGTCACTGGCACGGACCAGGAAGTCTGCCCGGATGGTGCCGAGGAGCACGGAGCAAGTCAAGGAAGTGCTGGTTGTCAAAAATCACATGATTCCTTGAAGCTTTAATTTTCCCTCTTTTGCTTTTTAAAGGGTTTTGTATATTCCAGTGTAAAATGTGGAAATTAAATTGGGACCTGCGAAACTGCACTGAATGATCACATGCACATGGTGTGACAGCTCCTCTGCCATCCTGCGTAGGTCTGAGCTGTGCAGAAAATGTGATGATCGTGTGACTGGTTCTGTCCCCTGTGATCGCTAATGAAAAACGCTGAACTTCCTGCTTTCAAGCAGCTTAACCTAGACGATGATCTCTCTGACATCAGGTGAATGTCAGGAGCTTCCCAACCACTAGTGCCAAAGGGTCATGTTGAAAAATTCAGAATATTCCTTTTATTAGTTAGAGTATGATAGTTTGCCCCATACCCATTCAGTGGTTTTATATTTTAAAAAATTTAATGGTGGTGTTTTCCACTAGCATTCTTTAGTGTTTTTGCCTTTTCAAAGGATAGCTATTATTTCCTTGTGAAATGGAATATAATCATGAAACAGGAAGAAGGCTAGATAAAAAATGTCAAAGCCGATATTGGTTGCATAACGTTTTTTTCATGTCAGTGCATCAGAGGAGCTTCTGATTAGCACGTGCACACATTTATCAGTGGTTAAGACTTGCTTATCTTTTGCTTTATAGAAGTAGTCATGGCATGATGTAATTGCCTTATGTAAATATGAAAGGCTATTTATTAAGTTTTCCAATAATATTTATTAATCTGTATGTGTTTTAAAATAAAAGCACTTATTTCTAGCTGAACATTTGTTTATTTTTCCCTTTGCTCGACATTCTTGTGTAGTCTTAGGTTCCAAGTCATCCAGTTCCCGGACCGGGCATGTAGCTCAGTGGTTCCGCTGCCTGCTTCACAAACGCAAAGTCCCAAGTTCAATCCCCGGCACCAAACAAACCAACAAACCAAATCATCCACTTCCCCACATTTTCCCCATGATGTCAGCCTGAGCATTGTCTTGGGGGAAATCCCTGATGTGTGAAGGAATTCATCATCCTGTGACCATCACTGGACTCATGAAATTGTGAAATTACAGAAAACTAGCTCGATTTTAATGCCTTTTACATATTTTTGAGTTGCATCGCATATCATTTTCACTTGTATCATTTTATATTTTAAGCCCATAGAAAATTAGAGAATAGGGCTGGGGATTTAACCCAGTGGTGCTGT